GTTTTGCTTTTATAAACTCTTTAAGGATTTTCTATGTAAAAAGACATGCCATCTGCAAATAGAGATACTTTAACTTCTTTCTTTCCAGTCTGGGTCACTTTTGCCTCTTTTCCTTGCCTAACTGCTCTGGCTGTTCACAATGGTGAACAGAAGTGGCAAGAGCAGAAATCCTTGTCTTGTTCCTCATCGCAGCAAAAGGCACCCAGTCTTTCACTGCTGTGTATAGATATTAGCCATAGGTGTTTAGTAGGTGCTCTTTACCAGGTTGAGGAATTTTTCTTCTGTTTCTAGTCTGTTGAGCATTTCCATGTAAAGAGGAGGTTGTAGAAATCTATAGACCAGCAGTGTACAATAGAAATATAATGTGAGCCACATATGTAAGTTTAAATTTTCTATTAACCACATTAACATATAATCTATATTATTGTTGTATCTAAATGTGATCAATCTAAAGTATCATTGAGGGGCTGGCCCGGTGGCGCACTGGATAGTGCGCTGCTTGACAAGCGCAGCGGCGCTCCTGCCCGAGGGTTCGGATCCCACATACAGACCGGTTCCCGCTCACTGGCTGAGCGAGGCGCGGGAGCAACACCGAGGGTTGCAATCCCGTTGCCGGTCCCCAGTCCCCGGTCCAGTACAGGGGCAACACTAAGGGTTGCGATCCGTTGCCGGACACGGAAAAAGACAAAAAAAAAAAAACAAAAAAAAGTATCATTGAGATATTTTGCATTCTTTTGTCATACTAAGACTTCAAAATCTACTTAGAGCACATCTCAATTCTCACTAGCCATATCTCAAGTGCTCAATAGCCACATGTCCTGTTGGCTGTTATATTGGACAGCATGGCTTTAAAGCAAGAGGTCCATAGATAGAAATGAGGGGGGATGAACTTGGATGGGGAAAATTAATTATCTTTATTTTCACTAACCTCCACAGAATTATGAATATAGGCAATGAACAACAGTCATATTATAGTGCCTGAGATTTCTGTTACTGTCACAGACTGGGTTCCCCAGGAAGCTGACTTTGAGGTGGAGATTTACATGTAAGAAGTTTACCAGGTTGTGCATTTGAAACCAAAACTCATAGAGGAGTAAAGGCCACAGTACTAGGCTATGATGCAATCACAGTAAAGACCTCAGCTGATTCCGCACTGAGCTCTGGAGCTGGGATGGCCTTACAGAGTTTCCTGAGTTGAGTTGATGAGGTCCCATGTATCTACTTTGAAGTTATAAGAGGTACTGGATATGCTATGCATATATATTTATTATTATTTTTGTAGTATTATGATAACTGCATTTCAATATAATTGGTTTTATTTGTAATCCTATTATTTTATTTTATACACTCCCAAACATTATTCTGGAAAGAAGTCCATAGGCTTCACCAAACTGCCAAAAAGGATCCATGACACAAAGGGGGAGAAGCCCTGCTCTGAAGACTACATAGTGGCCTGGGAAGAGCAGACTCACGAGGGGCACACTGGACCACACTGTACAGCACTGGACAATGCACATGTGTTTCAGTCTTTGTCTCATGATCTTTTATCTTTATCAAAAAACCTAACAACTTCCTCTACCCCCAAATACCCCTGCTCTCATAAAACTATATTATTTGATAACTTGTCATGGCTTCTCCTGAAAGGATCTCCGGTCATCCAACAAAGATAGCCACATTGTGAAAATTGAAAAACTCAACGAAAGATGTAAAAGGAGAGAAAGTGGGATGGCCCATCGGGGCCCTGCAGACCGGAGGGGCCCCAGCTTCTTCCAAGCAGCAGGCTACCTCACAGGCGAGATGAAGGAGTACAGGAGTTGGCTGGAAGGTAGGCAAATGCCCAGGGAAGAGGCAGCCAGGCCAGGCCAGGCCAGGGAGACAACCCTCTCTCTGGTTTAGACCAAGGAAGCTGCTCCCTCATTTACCCATGTGAGGACTCCCACAGTCAGGTGGGGGGATCTCTGAGTTGACTCTTGATGGGGGTAATATACCCTACTGACTGGAAATTCTCATGGTTTCAGCATCAAACATATTTCACTGCTTTTAGATTTTTGCAAATTATTTCTTGCTGATATAGGACAACCACCTTAGCAACATAGAGCCATTTCCCAAACAAGCCGAATGGTCATTCCTTCATTGTTCCACAGCCATGTATTATTTGCCTACTATGTGCCAAGAAATATTGGCATCAGTCTCCCCAAGGTTCCTGGGTTCTTTCCCTTTAACTTCTTCCTGCACTAAACGCTGCAACAAACACCGCATCCTCCCCATTCTCACTGCCCCCCCCCACCTGCACAGGTTGTCCTGGAAACCAACCAGAGTACAAGACAGAATGCATGTCCCCTCGCCCACACCTGCCTTCCTCTGGGTCCTGACTCAGTAATGATTTTCACAGCTGGGCTACAATAATCTCTTTCCCAGCTTCTTTTCTTCAGGCTGCTTTCTTTGCTGCTCAGATACTAGTCCTCAACTGAGTCACACAGCACTACAAAAAGAGTTTCCTTCTCTCTCCATGCCTTCCCTTGGACCAATAAATTTCCCCAGGAATGCTTCCTTGCCAACCAAGCTGATGGCTAGAATGGCATTAAGTTGGTCTCAGCACGGTGCCTCAGTTTGTACAGCAGAAACTACCAGCCAGCACAGACTGATGGGTGGACCACTCAGAGATGTGAGCTGTGCACCAACATCCCCCCACCTTCCTGCTCCCCTTCCACCAGGCTGAATGAGGGGAAACATCCTGGCCCATGAATCCCTGTTTGCCTTGGTTGCCATGACAATAAGTAGTCCAGCAAGGTATCACAGGCTGGACCAGCTGATGGCTCTGTCTGTCTCTTGCAGATAAGCCCCTGGCTCTCCAGTTCACAGACTGGGTCCTGAGGGGGACTGCTCAGGTCATGTTGGTCAACAACCCTCTCAGTGGGCTCATCATCTTCATCGGGCTCCTGATCCAGAATCCCTGGTGGACAATTGCTGGGGTTCTGGGGACAGTGGTCTCAACCTTAACTGCCGTTGTCTTGAGCCAGGACAGGTAGGTTCCTTTCTATGGGGGTCTTGGCAAGATGCGTGGGTCAGACAGATGGAGAGGTTTTTACCTCAGTGATCAACCAACCTTCAGCCAGCAAAAGTCTCCTGAATATCAACTTTGAGCAGGTCTCTGGAAGTCCTTCCAGCATCAAACTGCTCCTGCTCCTGCAAGTGACAGCACAAGGTTTCATTTGGCTGTAGAGCCTTCTGAAAACACTTCCTCTGAGCAGGGTGCAGAGGGACACTTAAACTGTCCCTCCTTCAGGGAGCCTATCATCTAGTTGAGGGAGACAAGATTAACTGGCAACAAATGTCTCAGAATGATGCAGGACAGCATACAATCAAGAGTTCAGAAAAGACAGACATCACTAAGTGTTGGGAAGGTTAGAGAGGGCAGGCATTGAGCTGGAAACATTGGAGATGGGGGATGGGAGAGAGGTGAGAAGAGGGGGAGGACAGAGGACAGCGTGGGACAGAGCATTGAGGAAGGCAAACACACAGGAGCAGCAGGAGGCAGAGAGGTGGGGGGTGGCAGTGGCTGTTGGGGACCTGGTGCACTGGCAGGGGCAAAGTCAAGTAACAACAATGACTAGCATTTTGTAGAACTTGGCTGTTTCCTCAGGCTCTGTCGTATGTTATTCCAATGGTTCGCAGACTTTCCCAATGATCAGAATCACTTAGGGTGATTGTTAAGAAATTCAGTTTCACCATCGTGTTAAGTGAAGTCAAGCACAAAAAGGCAAATACTGTACAATTTCACTCATATGTGGAAGATTTTTTTTTTTAAAGTGATTCTCATAGAAGTAGAGAGTAGAATAATGGTTACCAGAGGAGGGTGGTGGGGGGTGAGGGGAAAGGTGGACTAACAGGTACAAAACTGGGCCGTCTACCCTAAGTGAGCCATCGTGCAGTGCATGCATGTATTGAAACAACACACCGTACCTCACAAATATGTACAATTAAATGTTTAAAAATAAATTTAAAAATAAAGGAAATACAGTTTCAGCCCCACCCAACCCCTCTCCTTCCCGTAGATGTTCCAATTCAGTGGATCTGGGAGGGGGTATTTTCAACAAGGTCCTTCTATACGCTTCTGATGGTCAGAGAAGTTTGGGAAACATTGGATTACACCGTATTTTAGTGTTTTTCAATTTGGGGATCTCCAGCCCATTTACAGATCATGGATTAATGGTCAACAGCATTTTTTTACAGTTAAAACAATAGAATAAAATAAAACTGATTAGAGTAATCCATATATAGTAAAGGTAAATATTATTTTGTAAAATTTTTGTTTCATTTATGTTGAGGTGTGTGTGTGAGAATGAGAGTGAGCGAGAACTAGGTCATAATATAAAACACATTCCCTACAGTGGGAATACACTCAAAAATGGAAAAACACGCTCACACCTTGTTACGTGTGACTCTTACCACCACCTCACAGTGCAGACGGTGAAGGCAATAGAGTCTGCATTTGCAGGTGAGGAGAAGGAGACTGGGAGGGGACAGGTGCTCACCTACGATGCCACAGCCAGTGGGTGGCAGGACTCAGGCTCAAGGTCATGCTGCCCCTATCATGGCACACGCCTGGACAGAGTGCCCAGAAGCCCCCAGCAATCCCCGAGCAGCAGGAGTTGTTGTGTTGTAAGCAACATCTCCTTCCTCTGGGCCCACCTGACATTCCACATTCCACCAAGGCAAATGCAGGAGCTGGCGTGGCTCCAGGAGAAGCTGCCCACGCACCTCGTAGGTGGCCTTGGGGGACCGCTTCCATTCCGGCAAGCTGGAAGGCCATTCAAGGTTGGAAGGAGAGGCTGAATGCTCCTGAGTGCAGGTCTGGTGGGTGAGATGAAAACTAGGCTCCAGCTAGGATTTTCAAGCACCGGGCCCCTATTTCTTGTTTCCACTTTCCTATCGTCTCGGGGGCGGCTGGCACAGAATTGGCCCCCTGACAGATCAACTCTGTCTTACCGCTTCATCGCTGTTTGCTGAAGCTTACTTGGGGCGAACCCCATCCAGCCCACTGCCTTCTTAGCTCTGTGACCTCAGGCACGCGCTTCCCCTCTTGGCCACATTATCCTCATCTGTAAAATTTGTACGGTTCAGCTTAGATGAGCCCAAGTTGCTTTCGGCTCTGACAGTCTGATTCTCCGATTTTCCACTTGACCTTAATCTACTACTAAACTTGCCAAGCCATTCAAAAAGTCTCTTCACGGACTTCGGTTTGACAAGGAGAGGCGCACGCCAGGCCTGCCTAATCCTCCCAAACACCCTGATTAGGAATTTAAGACAAATATGCATCAGACAAAAACCCAGCTCCTCAGCTTGGCTTCCAAAGCCTTCTTGGACAGTCCCCGCACTACTTAGCACTCACTCAGCACCACACTCATCCCAGAGAAGCACTTTCCCTTCTGCGGTCCTGACACCTTGTGTACTTCTGCCTGTCTAATCCTACTATTTCTTCAAATCCCTCCTCCTGCAGGGAGCCACCCCTGTTTGCACCCCATGTACTCTGAATCCTCTTTTCTTTCTGAACAACCACAGAACATACCCTGCTATATTGGATTTTTCTCTAATTTTTTCCGGAGTCTTCTTTCCCTGGCATGTTCCAGACAGGAAGTTCATTTCCTATGTCCCATATTCCACCACAGCACCTAGGAAAGATTCCAGCTTTCTTGCTGACAGGTCGGTACCATGTTCTGCACCACAGGCTGAAAGTCCCAGGCACCCAATACAACACCCACAAACGTGTCCTTCCAAGGAGCCACAACTTCACCACAGTCCACAATGACCCATTGGCACGGCTGCACATTCTAATCATAATCCCTACCCCCACCCCCGGCCCTCAACCACCCCCCATTCCCACCCCCTTCCCCCACTAGCTTGAGACTGTACTTTCCATATAGCAGCTCAAGGTCATCAACACTGATGCTGCAGTGTCCTGATGGAACGTGGTCCTAATGAAGATCCTTTTGGCTTTGAGTTTGCACTTAGTTTTTTTATTTTTGAAGGTTAGGGCAGGGATGAAAGGAAATGGGATTCTTTTGGACAACAACAACAACAAAAAAGCTATGAAAAGAGACTGTCCACAGGAGGGGCAGCCGTAGAGGCAGCCCTTATCTGTCCCCCTAATTTTGTCTCCCTGGGCCCTTTCATTCTGTTACTGCCCGTGCTACACCCAGCCACTGGGGCTGCAGCCACTGGGACTCCCACAACATTGGTCAACTGTCTTTCCTCAGATCACCTACAGCAACTGATTTTAAAACAAAAAAGTATAAATTCTAACACTGAACACAAATGAGGAAATGCACAGAAAATGCAAATACACTAAAAATAATGATTTTCTTGAAACACAGGTTTCTGCTCCTGAGGTGACACCAGTTGCCTTCCCTGCACTTTCATTCTTTCTGAGCCCCCAGCCTGTCCCCAGCTGCCCCCATATCTTCCTGGCCTCGGGAGCAGCTAAGGACCCAGCATATCCTGTGTCCAGTACAAGCACCACACAGTGCTCTGCGTCCTCAGCCGTCCTTGCTGGAAATAGTCTAAATACTCTCTCTCCTGCCTCTCTCTCATCCTCTTCCTCTCCCCTAATCTAGGTCAGCACATCTCCTGGTCACTATGAAGGTGAAAAGTCCTCCTCCTGCCAGACCTAGGTCATGGCCTCTGATGGCGGGAGCCCTCCTCTCACCAGAGTCCCTTTCTCTATCTCAGGGAGCCTCAACCTCCCAAAAACCTCTGCCATGCAAGAAGAATAGTCAGTACATGACAAGGCTTAGCACCCACACACATTCATTCGGCAGGTACTGGCTGCAAGTCCTCTGTGCCCCAGGCCCTGGTGGCGTTGTTGGACACAGGGGGTCCGGCAGAGGACACGGACCAGCTCCAGCCACTGTGGAACTGAGGCGAGCGCAGGACAGAACACAAGCACATAAAGGTCATTCTCTGGCAGGGACCTTGCAGTGTGGTTTGCTCAGTTCCTTCCCTAACCCACTCCCCATTGTGCTCATCACAGAGCCATTGGGAAGGTCAAGGACAGTGTTTATTAGGATCAGGTGGTGAAGTTCAGGTGCATACAGGCCTCTCCTCTGTAACAGAAACAGGTGATAGCCTCAAATGTGGATTCAACCACACCTCTGGGCCCCTCCTTACTGAGACATGGGGAGGGGGCAGGTGGACATCCAAAGCCCCCTCAGCTAGTCCACTCTGGTGCAGACACACACACAGAGAAGGCACCCAGACTTCAATTGCAATCAAAACACATAGTGCAATCGGAACACTCTCCCTCCCTCCGCATCTCTTCCTTCCTCTTCCCCCTCCACACACACACACACACACACACACACACACACACACACACACACACACATTCCGCTTCTCTGGGCTGCACCTCAGGTTTCTATTAGATTTCCCACTATACCTAGCAATCTGAGACTCCCTTGAGTAGCAAAGGCGAGCTTAGCCACAGGTAAGATGAAAGTGCATAATTTTAATTCTAGATCAGCAAGGGTAATCCAGGGTGTCTGTGTGCATGTGTGTGTGTGTGTGTGTGTGTGTGTGTGTTGTCATCTAGAAAGGTGCTAGCAGCTATGTGACTGCCCAGTACTCATTGAGCGAGCTGACTCTTTTCTATGCATTATTACTATTAAAGGAATCATCTAAACTGAGAATATCTTCAGACTACCAGAAGGGAAGGGCCCAGTAATAAGTAATTCTGTCTTTTCCCCCCGAGGTCTGCCATTGCCTCAGGACTCCACGGGTACAACGGGATGCTGGTGGGACTGCTGGTGGCTGTCTTCTCTGATAAGTTAGACTATTACTGGTGGCTTCTGTTTCCTGTGATCTTCACAGCCATGGCCTGGTGAGGCACCTCATTCTCACTGTTCACAGACCCACAGGGCCCCTAGGTGGTTGCGTCTCATCTGGTCAGGGACAGGGATATGCACCATGTGGGGCCCAGTATCGTCATAGCCAGGCAGATTTGTCTAGCAAGACACTGTGAAAGCCCATGAGCTCAGTTGCAACACAAGGGTATCATTTTAGGATGTGAAATAACAGGGATCTTCTAAAGCAGCAAAAAACGCCAGGCAGATTTGTCTAGCAAGACACTGTGAAAGCCCATGAGCTCAGTTGCAACACAAGGGGATCATTTTAGGATGTGAAATAACAGGGATCTTCTAAAGCAGCAAAAAACCATGTTTTTTATTGTGCTGATAATCTTCTTTGAGTGTAATAACAGAGGCTAACATCGATTGGGTATACCTATATGCCAGGCACAGTGCGAAGAAAAGTACATTATATTTGTCCCCAATTGCAGAAGGGAAGACCAAGACATGCAGAGATTAGGTGACTTGCACCAGGTCACACTCTGTAAAAGTTTTTGATGCTGGCATTCTGGATCCAGAATCTGCATGATTAAACTCCGGGTTTGTTATGGTTTGATGTCCCCCCAAAAGCTCATGTTGAAACTGAATCGCCAATGTGGTAGTGTCGTTGAGAGGTGGGGCCTTTAGAAGGTGATTTGATCATGAGGGTTATGCCATCATTAACTGGTTAATGGATTAATGGGTTATCACGGGAGTGGCACTGCTTGCTTTATAAGATGCTCTATGCCGCCTTGGGACTCTACAGAGAGTCCCCACCAGGAAGAAGGTCTTCACCAGATGTGCCCCTTTGACCTTGGACTTCCAGCCTCTGGAACTGTAAAAAATAAATTTCAGTTCTTTACAAATCACCCAGTTTCAGGTATTCTGCTACAGATGACAGAAAATGGACTGAGACAAGGTTCCATGGGAATCATCTGTTATGTGGCCTAACCAAGACCTATTAGCTGACAACAAGCTTGTAATGGAACCAGAGAGCTTTCCTGGAACAGAATGTCTACGTGTAAATCTTAGAATCTTTGAGCTAGAAGTATCAGCTGAGATCTTGCTATGCAATCACCTCAGATTACAGATAGAATAAAAAGGTCAAGATGGAACGGAGTTAGGAACAAATATTCATTGCATGCATGGTGTGCTAGGCCATTGACACATATAATCCTTTGTTTGTTTGAATTTACAGCAGGTCTATAGAGTATCTGAGGATCTCAGTAGTGTGCCTGCTGTCATGGTGAACCTTTGCCCCCAGCCCATGACTGCACATGTGTATACCACCTTGTTCTCTACTCCTTCCAGACATGATTTATTCCTGTTCTCAGCAATAAATCAGGCATGATGATTTATTTTTAATATCTCTAAGAAGAAAATGTCTTTCTTTGGTTTCAAAGTCTGGAGTTACTAAAAGCAGTTAGTTTAATTTAGCTTAAGTACTGTTTCATTACTTTTTAGTAGTGCTTGCAAATAAATTACTACATTAAGCATTCTGAGCAATTTATTTTTTGTCTTAGGGTTTCTTTCTTTCTTAATCCATTGGGGAAAAAAACTAAGGCAGTCATTTCTGTGGGGAATTACTTACTGCTCCCTACATGCTCCTGTGTGAGGAGGAGACCTTGTCTTCATTTGCCTGTTTGTTTTATATCTACATAGATTAAGCCCCTCAGCACAACTCCTCAGCCATGTTGCACTGGGTGGCAGTTAGACTTTAGTGCTCCCCCGACACACACACTTCCCAATTTAAAAGACAAAAATATATTGACACCCCACCCTGGGCTGAGCTCTGTGCTACTGCTCCAGTACATTTATTAATCCATTCATGTAGTCCTTGAAATCCAATCCACAGGGTGGGTACTAGTAATGCCATTTTCCAGATTTATCTAATAAACAGAGATTTGCTGAGTGCCTGGGACTATTTGTGGAGGGCAGGGACCATCCTAGATGCTGGGGATAGTCGTGAAGGAGGAAGAGTCTCTATCATCTTGAAACTTACATTCTTCTTGCAAAGATAGACAAACTCATAAACTAGCTCATAAAAATGATCATTTTAAGTTGTGATAAGTGCTTTAAGGAAAGCAAAACAGGATAAGTGAGACAGACTAGACTTGCAAACATGGGTGGTCAGGGAAGGCACTTTGCAGAAGGGGCATTTGAACTGTCACCTAAATGATCAGCAGACATCTGCCGTTAAGATCTGGGTGAAAGATGTTGCAGGCAGAAACAGCAGCATGTGCAACTACCCCATCTGGGGAAGGGCGACGTGTTCCAGAAATAGAGACCAGACCAGTGAGGCTGAAGCCCAATAAATGATGGTGGAGGCCAGAAGGTAAGGGCAGAGAGTAGATGAGGGCCACACCACATACGCCCTGTAGATCCAGCAAGCCTTTTGATTTTTATAACACCTGTGATGGGAAGCAGTTAAAGGGTTTTAAGCAAAAGAGTGATGAGATAACATTCATTTACATTTAAACAAATCACTCTGCTTGCAGTGTACAGAATGGATTTTAACTGGAGCAAGAGTGGATGCTGGAAGCGTCTGCTGCAATAACCTGCAATGTCTGCTACAGTAACCTGCAGAGATGAGAGTGGCTTAGACTAGGGTGATATCCATGAACATGGCAACAAGTGACTAGATCTGAGGTATATTTTAAAGAAGACAGAGGCAACAGGACTTGCTGGGAAACTGTAGAGCATGAGGGAGAAAAAGGAAATAAAATGCAATACACTCCTATAACCTGGGCTGATGGAGAAGACTCAGAGAACAACAGATTGGTGGTGGAGGATGGAATAAGTTCTGTTTGGACACATTAGACTTCCAAGTAGAGATGTTGAGAAGGTAACTGGATGTATAAATCTGGAACACAGGGATATGGTCAAGGTTTGGAAGGTAGAAGCATATAGCAGGTATTTCATCTATGGGACTAGAGGATATCACCCAAAAGAGAAGATTTTTAAAAAGAGAGAGAGAAGATACAAAACAGAGCCATAAGATCCAATACTTAGATGTCAGGGAGAGAAAGGGGAAAATCATTGAAGGAGACTAAGAAAGTCCAGTGTCATGGTAGCTCAGACAGAGAGTATTTTAATACAATGGGAGGGTCCAACTGCCTAGTGAAGAGGACAGGGAATGACCATGGATTTGGCAAGATAGGTGTTTTTGGCCAATTGGGCAAGAGCCATTTCCATGGTAGAGTGAGGACCTGCACCAGACGAGTGGGTTTGGGAAGGACTAGGAGCAGGAAGATTGGGGACAGCAAAGAAAGCCAACCCTTTTGAGGAGGATTGCTGTGAAGAGGAAAGAGAAAAATGGGGCAGTAGCTGGAGTGGACATCAGGTTAAAGGAGAAGGAATTTTAAAGGCAGGAGATGCTAGAGCGTGTTATATACTGATGAGAATAACCCGGAGAAAAAGAAGAGATTGAAGCTGCAGGAGAGAAAGGAGAACATTGCAGGAGTGAAGTCCTTGATTGGATCCAAAGAACAGGGGAAAATTGGCCTGATGAAGGAGCAGGCACACTTCCATTACATGAAAACGGCAGAGAGAGTACCTGGTGACAAAGCAGGCAGGGTGTGGATTTCACAGTTGAGAAAACAAAGCATTCCTCATCTTGTCAGTTCTATTTTCTTAATGAAGTAAAGCCAGGTGGTTGGCTGAGACTGAAGGGAAGCAGACTGCAGTGGATTGAATTATGTCCCCCAAAACCCACTGAAGCTTGAATTGTGTCCCCCAAGGTTTATGTATTAGAAACTTGGCCCCCACTGTGACTGTTAAGAGGGTGGGAAATCCTATTATGGTAATTGAAAGGTGGATCCTTGAAGAGGTGATTAGATTGTAGGACTGTATAGTAATGAATGGATTAAAAATGGTGGTCAGGGGCATGGTTCTGAGGGCTTTAAAAGGAGAGCACATCAGAGGTTAGTCTCTCTCTCTCTGCTCCACCATTTTTCTGCCATGTGATACCCCTGGGTAAGGAAATATCCTCTCACTTTTTCATACTTTTAATTTAAAACTATTTAAGAGAACCAAGGTTCCGATTATTGTATATATTTTTCTAAAAATCAAATAAAGCTACCTATGAAAATGAAAAAAAAAAAAACCCAGGCAGCCTGACAGAGTCCAAGCTTCGCACTACCCCCATCATGCAAGGCAGGACATTACCTTCAGGTTGAACAATCACATTGTGGCCAAATCCCAGCTTCTCAATGCAGTCCAGCCCCTCATCAGCTACCTTTAAGTGCTGGGGTGTTCTTAACACTCATCACCCTTTATCTTTCACCCATTAGTTCTAGCTCTGCTTTCTAGAGTAATTCAAAATATTGTTCCTGTGATAGCCTTTTGAATATTTGAAAACATAACCTACATCCTCAAATGCTGTTTGTATAATAGGATTCTGAGCCCTCCCTGCCCAACCACACCCATTGTCCTGGTGTGCTTAAACCTCACCTGGCCCTGCTGCTGGCTCTCAGCTCCAGAGCTACCACTCTGCAGGGTCCTCCAGGAACAGCCATAGTCTAAACCCAAACGCATTAGAAAGGGAATGCTCCCCTGCCCCTGATGGCAAATACTGCTGCAAACACTGCAAAGCCGTTGTAACATTTTTGTTTTTTTAAGTTTTAAGTTTTGTGCAGGGCTGAGGCTGAGGCTGAAATAGGATTAAAGGCAGGTTAAGGCCTAAACCCAAGAAAATGGGAAAGGCAGAGCCCTGCATTTGAGAGAAAGCCCACCCTCTCAGATGGAAAATAGCCAGGGCAGGAGCGGGGACAAAACTCAAAACTTTGACAGATTCGGCAATGATCAGCCATCTGGCAATTAGGAAAACTGCCTTTGGGTGCATGGACCCACTGTGTCTGATCCCTACCCATGAGGTGTTGTTGGAGTGACAGCCACAGGCACATGGGGCACTACCAGAGAGAAAGGCTCACGAGCCCCCCACCCTACACTGTGAGGCTGGACAACCCAGCACAGAGGGGACCAGCCTGGTGTGGGTCACAGACATGTCTCTTGTTTATCTTCCAAGTAAACAATCAGAAAGTGTAGAACACAAACCCACTACCCTGAGGTCCAAGCTCACCCTCTTAACTCCCCACCAGCCCACCACTCTGACCACCAGTCTCCTTTTCTTCCACACCATCAGACCTGAGTTTTGAAGATGCAATGCCATTTTCCTCTTTCTCTTTAAAATAACAGGGCAGAAAGGGGGATTCCTTTTTGTTTAACCAGCTTATTGTTGTAACATGAGAATTATAAGGAGTACGAGTAGGCTGGGTGCTCAGTAAATTTCCACAGCACACCTGACTGCCCTTCACACCAGGGTGTCAGCTGCGAAGAATTCCCCAGTCTGAAATGTCAATAGGGCCAAAGTTGAGAAACCCCACTTTATATCCTACTATCCTACTATCACAAATATACATATTCATTTATTCTGATGATCTGTTGTCAGTGGGGATAAAGGAATGTAATAAAAATCTAACATAAGATGATGACATATATACAATTGCAAAGTATTGACCTTGTTAATGAACATAGATATAATTAACAGCTAATAACTAAAGCAAGCTTAGTATGTATCAGACACTGTTCAAAGGCCTTAACATATTAACTCATTCAACCCTCATAATAACCCAATACTGTACATACTACTATTATCCCCATTTTACAGATGAGAAAACTAAGGCACAGAGAGGGTTAGCTGCCCAAAGTCAATCTGCAGTTAGTCCCTGTGCTTAAAACCCAGGCAGGCTGATAGAGTCCAAGCTTCGCACTACCCCCATCATGCAAGGCAGGACATTACCTTCAGATTGAACAATCACAGTGTGGCTAAATCCCAGCTTCTCAATGCAGTCCAGCCCCTCCTCAGCTACCTTTAAGTGCTGGGGTGTTCTTAACACTCATCACCCTTTATCTTTCACCCATTAGTTCTAGCTCTGCTTTCTAGAGTAATTCAGAATATTGCTCCTGTGATAGTCTTTAGAATATTTGAAAACGTAACCTACATCCTCAAATGCTGTTTGTATAATAGAATTTTGAGCCCTCCCTGCCCAACCACACCCATTGTCCTGGTGTGCTTAAACCTCACCTGGCCCTGCTGCTGGCTCTCAGCTCCAGAGCTACCACTCTGCAGGGTCCTCCAGGAACAGCCATACTCTAAACCCAAACGCATTAGAAAGGGAAATGCTCCCCTGCCCCTGATGGCAAATGCTGCTGCAAACACTGCAGAGCCTTTGTAACATTTTTGTTTTTTTAAATTTTAAGTTTTGTGCAGGGCTGAGGCTGAGGCTGAAATAGGATTAGAGGCAGGTTAAGGCCTAAACCCAAGAAAATGGGAAAGACAGAGCCCTGCATTTGAGAGAAAGCCAACCCTCTCAGATGGAAAATAGCCAGGGCAGGAGCGGGGACAAAACTCAAAACTTTGACAAATTCGGCAATGATCAGCCATCTGGCAATTAGGAAAACTGCCTTTGGGTGCACGGACCCACTGTGTCTGATCCCTACCCATGAGGTGTTGTCGGAGTGACAGCCACAGGCACATGGGGCACTACCAGAGAGAAAGGCTCACGAGCCCCCCACCCTACACTGTGAGGCTGGACAACCCAGCACAGAGGGGACCAGCCTGGTGTGGGTCACAGAATGGACATGTCTCTTGTTTATCTTCCAAGTAAACAATCAGAAAGTGTAGAACACAAACCCACTACCCCGAGGTCCAAGCTCACCCTCTTAACTCCCCACCAGCCCACCGCTCTGACCTCCAGTCTCCTTTTCTTCCACACCATCAGACCTGAGTTTTGAAGATGCAATGCCATTTTCCTCTTTCTCTTTAAAATAACAGGGCAGAAACGGGGATTCCTTTTTGTTTAACCAGCTTATTGTTGTAACATGAGAATTATAAGGAGTACAAGTAGGCTGGGTGCTCAGTAAATTTCCACAGCACACCTGACTGCCCTTCACACCAGGGTGTCAGCTGCGTACAGGGGAGGGCAGGCTGCTGGAGCCCAGTTCACCAGCTAGACTACAGATCCAGCCAAGGAAGCTTCATTCGAAGCCCAGGCTCTGTTCCAAGGCCACTTGTTCCCTCATTCCTCTCATTCCTGACTGCTTGGGCTTAACACCTGTGTTCCTCGATGGAAAGATGGAAGTTGGATGCCCCTCAGCATCCCATATTCCTCAGATGTTGGCAAGTCATCAGATACTTATTGAGTAGACTTCTGGCCTGTTCCCAACACTTCGGCTGCATTCCCTGGTCTGGTACAAAGTGTTTTCTGGGTTCTTATCAATAAGATTGGGTCCAGCCCTGTCATTCCTTTCACAAGTTTATAGGCTCTGGCCCAAACAGTGTTGGGTCAATAAAAGGCCACCCATTCCGAGACAAGGGGGTACAAAACTTAGAAGTTCTCTGGGGCTGGGCCGGCCCGGTGGCACACTGGAGAGTGTGCCACTTGGGAGCGCGACGGCGCTCCCGCCGAAGGTTCAGATCCCATGTGGAGACCTGTTCCCGCTCACTGGCTGAGCGCGGTGCGGGCACAACACCGAGGGTTGCGATCCCGTTGCCAGTCCCCGGTACGGGCATGACACTGAGGTTTGCGATCCCGTTACTGGTCAGTAAAAAAGACAAAAAGGGCGCGGTGCGGGCACAACACCGAGGGTTGCGATCCCGTTGCCAGTCCCCGGTATGGGCACGACACTGAGGTTTGCGATCCCGTTACTGGTCAGTAAAAAAGACAAAAAGGAAAAAAAAAAGAAGTTCTCTGGGGCTCCTCAAACACTATTCCCTAAAGAAATCACTTTGATCTCAGAATTAAATCAAATTTTTAGAGTACAAAATTTCATCCAAAGAAAAAAATGCAGTTACTCCCCACATTTACAGTAGCTTATCTGTAACTTATCCAGTGCACCCCACACTCTGTGGCACATCAGTCTCACCTGAGGCCCTGGGCATGCCCCAGACTGATTAAATCAGAATGTCTAGGGAAGAGCCAGGAACTGGTATTTCTTTAAAGATCCCCAGAGGATTCCAACATACAGCAAAATTTGGTAATCCCTAAGCTAATCAATACCTATTTATTAAGCACCTATTATGTCCCCAGCCATAGAGAGCCCCGTCCTCAAAGAGGTCATTTGGCCCGATAATGGGGAAAGGAACTTCAGAATTTTAAAGCTGAAAGATCATCTACCAGGCCAGCTTCCCCTAGTTACAGAGGAGGATTCCGTAGCTCACAATGAGGAAGGCACACACCCTCAGTCCCACCAGAAACTCATGCAGAGCCCCCCCCCACAACCGGATCCCTGGACTCCCACTCTCTCCTTGCCCTGCCATGCTCCCTCTCTTCCCCTTTGCCCTCAAAGGACTGCAAAAATATGGACAATTCAACCCAGGCAGAGAAAGGCCTTCTGACATCACTGCCAAATTAATCATCACCAATTGCAACACCATCAAATCACTCTCAGGCTCAGGGGTGTTTGGGCTTCGTGCTGCTCCCAGATGTTCCACACGCCACCTTCCTGCAATGCTACTTCCTCCTCCAGAGCAAGGCAGATGCCTTCTCCTCCTTCCAAGGGCCCAAAGCCCCCAGGGTAGTGTTGAATGGGCAGCAGCCACCAAAGAGGACATGCCAACAGTGGCTTGACGGAGAATCAGTGAGGCTGGTAAAGACCTCAGACTAGGGGTCAAGCTCAGAGGCTCTAGCCTGCCCTTGGCCACCAACAGGCCGGATGACCTTTGGTCAAATCATTCATTGAAATGACCTAGAATATTTCCAGGATTGCAGAAGGTCTAGAGGAAATTCTCTAGTTCCCTGAACCCCTGTGGCAGTCTATGGAGCAGGTGCATCTAGTCCCCTCAAAGCTTCCGCTCTCAGAGCAGCAGCCATATGTTCCTCAGAAGCACCAGGCCCAGCCCCCGTGTTGGGGGCCCTGACTCTGCATGAGGGGTGCTCAGGTGCCTGCTAGGTAGTGGAATGAGGAGCTGGTCGTTTCAGCCCGTGCCCTACCCATCTTCACACGAGGGAGGGCATAGTCATCTTCCCATTCCACCCCAATACCCACCCCCCCAGGACCGGCTCAATCCGGGCCATGAGTCCTGGTATTTGCAGTATCGGCCTATGCTCCAGTGACCTAGATTCTGTTGACTTTGCAGTTGTTACAAGCCATCCCTGTTGGGGTTGGCCAGGTGTATGGCTGCGACAATCCCTGGACAGGCGGCATGGTCCTGGTGGCTCTGTTCATCTCCTCGCCACTCGTCTGCCTGCATGCAGCCATTGGCTCAATCGTGGGGATTCTGGCAGGTAGGACAGAGCCCCCTCTCTGCAGGGAGGGCCTTGGGATAATTTCCCTGAGGTCATCTCAGCCCCACACACAGCAAGCATTCCAGACTTATTCTCCTCTCTGGAATTTTAAACACTGTCAGGGGTAGAGGGTTATTTTTCCCTTTCCTGAGTATGCAAGGGGAGCAGTCATCAATAGCAGGACATGTAGAGAGATGCAAGGAGACTGAAGACATGGTCGGCCTGCAAACTGAGCTCCTGGGGTGAGGGTGGAGGAGGGTCCCCAGGGTGGAGTTGGGGAACACAACCAAGACCAAGCTAGGGCGTAAGTAGCCAGCACTGGAAATTTCGAGTAAGCTAAAAGGAAAAGTTTTCTCAAAAATGGGATTACATTTGACACACGTGGTTTAGTATTTTTACATGTATGCATGTGCACACATTTATATATGTATGTGCTCTTTCTGACAACAGAGTCAGACATTGAGGTGGGGGCATTGGGAGTAGGAGCCGGTTTTTGACTTATCCCAATATTTTTCAAAGACTTTTGGAAGCAGAATTTTAAAAATATGTTTTATTTGGAAATCATTTTAAATTTAAAAAGTTACAAAAATAATAATATGAGACACCCATAAATTCTTTACCCAAATTCGCCTATTGTTCATATCCTACCCCTTGTGATATATCATTCCTCTCTGCATATGTCTATATGTGTGTATATGTAATTTTTCTGAACCATTTGAAACAAAACCTTTAAATTAATATCTTTCTTGCTAAAAATGCAGCTGCTCCTGCTGGAGGAGTAGGGAGGGCTTAGAGCCCCACCTCCTTGGCCTGCCCTCACGCCAGAAGTAGCCATACCTATGTGCGAAAACTATGGCTTTGAAAAACAGTTTGGAAACCTCTACTTTCTTCTCCTTATTGGTTTCCTAAGACCAGATGCCATTTTCAAAGTCTCCTTTGATGGGCAGAGCTGGGGTGTGGGGTGAACGACAGGATGGAGGCCACCCTGAGACCTGGCAACTGGCCATGGCGTGGCCTTTGTTCTGTGACCCAGAATGAGCCAGAACAACACACCTTGTCCCACAGCCCTGACATTGGCCACACCCTTCGAGACGATCTACATGGGCCTCTGGAGCTACAACTGCGTCCTCTCCTGCATCGCCATCGGGGGCATGTTCTACGCCCTCACCTGGCAGACTCACCTACTGGCCCTCATGTGCGGTAGGTGTTCAGGAAAACTGACAACTAAGTCACTCTGGCTATTCCTTCCCCCCTTGGTTATGCAAAACCCATGGCGACCACTAATCAATACTGAACAGTGTGACAGAAGGACCTAATGCCAGCACTACCTTTCACAGCTGGGGATTTTAGGTTCCTCCTCTGTCGATTGGAGTCACAACCAGCTTATGCCATTGTACTTACACAGTGTTGTGTAATTTACAAGGAAATTACATGTGCATTTCCTTGCATGCCCATGGCAGCATTCCTGCAACTTCCATACAGTAAGTAGGGAATGTGCCATCTGAAGGGAAGTCAACCATAGTCCTCGTTGCACACCTGCACCCCAGCACCATGCTCTGTGTTGTGTAAACATATGAATTCACTCATCCTCCCAAGAACACCACCAGGCACGGGTTGCCAGCCCCATTTTACAGATGAGGAAATGAGACTCAGGGGTTAACTTGCCCTAGAACACAGCTGTTAATGGCAGGAGGGAGGGTCAAACCCCACCCCATCATTCCTCCAGGCCCCCTCTCCTGGAGTTGTGACATTCCCTGGAAACAGCAGGAAATGACTTTAATAAGTAAAACTAGAGACAAGTACAGGGCAGAATGGCCTCAGAAAAGCTTTTCTTTTGCTTTGTCCCATGTGTGTGGAGACTGCAAATGATGTCCATGTCCCTTGTATCCCCCTCAGCAGCCAACATGAGGCTGGGCATGGAGACTGTAGGCTCAACAAATATTTGTCAAGTCTAAAGTGCCAGATATTGTGGGGTTCAGACTGTAACTGCCTTTGGCCTTCAGAAAAGTGGCACATGCCAGGGAGAGGCCGGGGTTTATCTCAACCCCTGTGAGTAGGATTTGCATGAGCAGAGAGAGGGGGAAGTGGTGTCCTGGGCAGAGGAAGAGAAAGAGAAAAGTTGCAGGGGCAAAAGGAGATTGTTCAGAGACACCAGTAGTGTGGACAAGCTCCTGTAATAGTCCTCGGGGTCCAGCTCCTGGCGTGATCCCAACTGCCTGGCCCCTGGGAACCAGCTCATGGACCCAGTAAGGTTCAACCCTGATGAGATTTGGTGAGCCTCAAACAGCATCATGCTCCTCAGGATCTTGGACAGGAGGGATCTTAGTGAGAGCTCATGTAGTCTGACCTCTCTGCCCACTGACAGATAATCATCCAGACTGTGCTGGCATCCTCAAAGTCAGTGTGGACAAGTAAAAGATGCTCATTGACTCCTGGCTCTATGCAAGGCCACCACGGAAGTGGGGGAGAGGATAAAAGGATATCTAAGCTTTTATCTCTGTCCTCAGAGAATGCACAATCTGATGGGAGATGGGCCACATCTACCCACAAAGATTAGTAATATCAGACAAGCGAGCCAGATATCAGGGCACAGTGCAGACACTGAGTCTGTAGAAGAGAGAGTGGGACCCCTGTTCTAGGTCTGGGCTTGCTGTTCTGCCACAGCAGTGGCTAGGAGAGGGGGCATCAGGCTCTGGAAGCTGACTCTGATGGTTCTCATTCCTCCACAGCCCTGTTCTGTGCGTACATGGGAGCAGGCCTCTCCAACATACTGGCAGTGGTGAGTTTGGATTCTCCTGAACACTACTCTAAGGTGTCCTTCCCCAGCCAGAGCTTCCAGACACTTGGAGTCTCACAGAAGAATCCTGTGTGGGTTATGGTAGCTAGTACTCCACACGATGCCTCTGTCAGGGTTTATGTAGGGTTTGTCCAGAGAAAGACTAGCAATTGCATAAGGGGTGTGTGTGTGTGTGTGTGTGTGTGTGTGTGTGTGTGTGTGTGTGTGTGTGTGTTTTAAAAGAAAGGGTGCACAACGTAACTAGCAGTGTAGAACATGAATGGATAGATGGAGCTCTATGGCTGGATGTGGGAAACGATTCCTAAAAGATTCTGATTGTGCCCAAAGGTACCAACAGCTCTATTCCTTGGCCAACTACTCTGACATTCTGAGTCCAGGAGCACCAGTGCCTTCACTTGGCAGGGGGGGTCCATCTTCAACTCCTATCACTTCCTTCTCCCCCAGAGACCCTGACCCAACACAGGATTCTAAGAACGTTCTTCAGACCCCAATGCTTTTATTTCCAGGTTGGCGTGCCACCGGGCACCTGGCCCTTCTGCCTTTCTACCCTCGTCTTCCTGCTCCTGACAACCAACAACCCCACCATCTACAAGCTCCCACTCAGCCACGTCACCTACCCAGAGGCCAACCGCATCTACTACCTGACAGTGAAAAGCAGTGAAGAAAAGTCCCCCAGTGGTGACTAGCCAAGCTCCAGGCAGAAGTGCTCTTTGCCTGGACCTGGTGTCTTCTCCCTGTGGTCTCAACTCTGGATCAATCAGCTGCTAGTCATCTCCTCTGCCTCTCTTTGTACCCGGGTGGAACTCAACACACCTGTAACTCCCTTTCCCTGAGCTGATTTTCTCTCTGTGCCCAAATCTCCATAACTACCCATTGTGCAACATTAAAGGAAGGTGATAATGAGATTGCCAGAGTTAGAAGTTAAGGAGTATGTTTTAAATGTTGTTGACTTAAAAAGATTACTTAGTCTTTGGGAAAGATGATTGAGATATGATCTCCTTGGCATGTTTAACGAAGCAATGGATGCTGTAAAAATTGAACTTGCCAAGTGGTTCCTAGGCAGATATGAAGTGGGAGTAAGTCAGGGGACACATGCTAGGAAGTGAAGATGCCCTAGAGTGCAGAGCTGGTTGCTGACTGCCGCAAAAAGTTTTGCACAAAAGAGAGGAATTTCACACTGTTGGAGTTTTAAAGTCAAAACGGGGATAATTATGGAAATTGTCTACGTAAGGAGTCTTGAGCATTCAGTGGTCTGAGTAAGGGGCAAAATGATACTCCATAGAGAGGAATTAATAAATTAGAATCCTATATATGATTTATTACGGAGGATAAACATTTCTTTATTAAGATCAAACCAGCAACTCTGATCAAAGATTTCAGCTGAGGAAAGTACCTGAGCTCAGTGTGTGAAAAGCTTGGGAAATTTATTTCATTTTTCCATTTGCTTGTGGATGATGGAGCCTTTATGAGGTCTGATATTTAAAACAAATGGTTAGCCTTAACTGTAGAGGAACATAATTATCTATGAATTTCATAATTTGGCTTCCCAATTATTGTCAGTAGTTTACATTAAGTCTTTACATATATAGATCAAGGGACAACAAACTTTTTTTGTAAAGGGCCACATAGTAAATATTTTCATCTCTGGAGGCCATACAGTTTCTTGCAAAGTCTCAACTCTGTCATAGTAGCATAAAAGCAGCTGTAGACAATATGTAAATGAATGGCCATGGCTATGTTCCAATAAAACTTTATTGAACAGCTGCCAATCCCTGATAGAGATGATCAACATATTAATGATTAGAAAGCAGTGGGTAGGTCCGGCCCAGTGGCGCACTGAAGACTGCGCCGCTTGGGAGCGTGGCAGCACTGCCGCTGAGGGTTCGGATCCCACGTGGAGACCGGTTCCCGCTCACTGGCTGAGCGTGGTGCGGGTGCAACACCGAGGGTTGCGATCCCGTTGCTGGTCCCCGATACGGGTGCGACACCGAGGGTTGCGATCCCGTTACCGGTCAGTAAAAAAGAGACAAAAAGGAAAAAAAAAAAAAAGAAGAAAGCAGTGGGTATTCTACAGACCAAATGGATACCACAAGGTCCATTAGAACATACATAGCAACAAAAGACATTTTATACTTTGAGTGGTCATGTGAAGACTCCTAGGAAATTGAAGGCACCCAGAAAAGTGAGATTATCATGGCTGGAGGGGAAACTCCTAAAGTATTCTAGTGAAAGATAACCAGAACTAGAAACCTCATTCACTGCCCTAGACAATCCCCTTCTCTCTCCATTAAGCGCTTCAGGCTTTCTGCCCAAAGCGGACCTGAATGGTAACTTTTAGCCATGCTTATTGGATTCCCAGCAGGAAAAAACTATTTGTATATGAAAAATTATTTTAGTTCACTTAGACAAGATTATGTCTTTCTCTCCCTTCTCTTCCCCCTGCACCCCTTACCCCACTACCTCCATCTTATGGAATTGGAGAACTCCCTGGAATGATCTTGTCCCCACCTTTGCCAGGGTGTCCTCCTCTCACTGACCTGCTGAATGAGTAGGTGCAGGAGCCCTAAACGTAGAGACTGCTATCACCAGCGTGAGGTTGCATGGAAGCAGGCCACCATGAGAGAAGAAGGGCTTTGGGACCCTCATCCGGGTTGCTTTTCTCCTATTGCCCCAAACTACCAGCAACAGCTCTGCCCTGTTGAACATAAGTATGGAATCATTAAAGAGAATAAAAACGTCTGGGTGGGGTTGGGGAGGAGCGGACTTTAGAGGAGGCTGAGTCTAAGCCACTCTTTCTCTCTCCCCCTTCCTCCCATTTCCAGCTCCTCTCCTACAACACTGGCGAGTTCCACTGTCAGCCAGTCTGGTCCTACTGCATTTTAAAACGGTGGATATTGAATCATCTTTTCAATCTTTTCTATGATAATTGACATAATCAAGTCTTCTGCTTCATCTTGGGTCAACTTCGAAAATTTGTTTGTTAAGATATAATACATTTTCTTTTCTTTTACAATTTTGTTACCATAGAATTATAATGTTCTCGTACAATAATTTCAGTTCCCCTGTATCTCCTTTCTCATTTCTAATCTTATGTAATTTTCTGCTTTTTTCTTTAATCAGTTTTGTGAGGGGTTCATCCATTTTATTGGCTTTTTCAAAGAGCAGTTTGGGATTTAATTGTTCTTCCTACTGGTTTTGGTTTGTTTTCTATTTTATTATTTTTCCTGTTTTCTTATGGTTTGTTTAAATGTTCTTTTTTTCCCTAACATTTTAAAATTGATGTAAAGTTCCTTCATTTTTGGTCTTTCCTTCTTTAGCAACAAAGCCACTTAAGGTTATTAATTTTCTCCTGAGTATAGCTTTAGCCGTGTACTGTAGGTTTTGGAATAAATAATTCTACTTTCATCAGTTTTTAAATAGTTTGTAATTTCAGTTTTGATTTCTCTTTGGTTATTTGAGGATAATATAAAAATGTGTTTCTTAATTTCCAGTTTAATTGCATTATGAGTGGAAGATATGACCTGTAAAATTTCTATTTTTAAGATTTATGAATTTTTCTTGGTTGCCAAGTACCTGATTTTGGACATATAAAATGAAATTTTTTGATTTGAAGGAAATACATATTAAATTAATCTAATTGTATTATTCAGTTCCTCTATGTCTTTTTTTTNAAAAAAAAAAACAGCATGTTTCTGACAACATGCACAGTTGTTTTATTTGCTTTTAAGCGTTATGCCGAACTTGACTGAGAGTTTATTCCCCACACCGAAGTGCTTCCCAGGCAGCAGTAAAGGTCCCACACTCACATTAGCCTGCCCTCGGTGATCAAAGCACTGTTTCTTGCCTTTCTGCTCCTAGCTATTACGCCTGCTAATAGGCAATGTTCCCCCTGCACTAAATTTGGAATAGATTTCTTCCGAAGCAGTTTTTAAAACTGTAACCAGAGAAAACCATTAAAAATCATTCAACCAAAGAAGTCACTTTGGCTATCTTCTGCATTGCCAGGGACCTGTTTTTATTTTCAGGAGCATTTTTATGAAGCAGAGCCTTACATCTTTATACTGAGCATAGCTGATCCAGTTACTTTTCTTCATCCTTATTCTCAGTATATTTTTGGTCTCAATAGTTACTCTCTCCAGTAACAGAGGTGCTGCCCTCAAGATAACTAAAAATTGGGTGGGCAAAAAGAGCCAAGTCTGCAGGTCCATTCTCAGGAAGCCTAAAGCAGCTTTGAGGACCCAATCTCATGAAGATGTCGTGAGTCACAGACATCGAAAGGATGCTGAGTAGGTGGATGGCTTTGTGGCTCAGGACTTGAAAATTTCAAGAAAGCAGAGCCAAAATAACATTTTCCCCTGCTGCTCCATGATGATATCCACATGTATAATCCTTAAGGGCATCAAGGTCTCATATGGGAGGTCTCCTTTTAATATACAAAGGCCACTGCTCACCACTTGGCATTTTTGTATGAATTAGAAAAAGGCACCCCTTCCTCCACATCCCCCCCTCAGGACTTGCATTGTGAGCAAAGCATGGGTTGGATTTCAGCCCCCTTCAAACCCTTGGCCTGGCCATTGTCACTGAATAGCTCTTGGATTTCTTCGTCACACTAAGGCAACATTTATTCTTCCATTCATTCATCACATGTTTCAGGCATGACTGTGGGTGAGGCACTTGGGCTCTATGGAGAATTTAAAGGTGAACAAAATAAGTCTCTTCAGCAAAGGGTCCTCATTCTCAGTGAATTAATGTCATGAACAAAGGTATAGAAGGTTCTAAGATAAAATGTGCCTAGTGCTGGTGAATATTCTGGTTTCATTGGAGTATAGGAGAGTCACGGGTGGTTGAGCTTAAAAGGGGGCTTACATGAATAATCGATAGAAGACCATGTTAGCAGTTTCAGAGAAGGGAAATAGTTTGCCAACACTGAGCACTGAGGATATAGACGTGGTGATGGTCAACAGGATAGATTAGTGCGGTCAAGAGTGGAGGGAAGTTGGAAGCAGAGAGGCCAGTTAGGAAGCTGATAGATTACATTATTGTTCAAACATCCACCACCACCCACAAGGTAATATTATATATCCCTAATCCATTAACCTCAGGCCTGGCTATGTGACTTACTTTAGACAATAAAATGGGAATAGACAGAATATGTGTCACTGCTAAGTGAAACTTCTAGAGCCATTGTATGGTTCCATCATGTGTTCTTTTCTCTGTCACAATATCCCAGATTGGGAATGCTCCTTCAGTCTGC